CCTGAACCCCTAAGTGGATCAAACTCAGACACTACATAAACCTTCAACCTCGTAATGTAGGGGCCTAAATAATTACAATACTATTCTGGGGTTCCTTATTATTATTATTGTTATTATATTTATAGGAGTAATGGGCCCCAAAACCCTATTCTGATTATTAAGTTCCCTACATTATATATGATCCCTTGCAGAAAGCTTGCATTCAAGCATCCCTACACAACTCTTACCGACGGCAAAGGGGAAGCGAGCTGCTTCCATCAAGTTCGCCCAGGCGGCGGATTCTCCGTTTGTGTGGGTTTCGGGATTTAGGGTTGGTTTTTGAGGGTCGTAGGCTTGATTCTTGTTTGTATTTCGGGTTCCCGAAGTTTTGAAGCCCTAAACCCTAAACCCAAAGGCCTAAAACGATGTTTAAGTGTTGTTGCCGCCCTGTGGGTTTGCCTCCTTCCTGTCCAGTGGCGCCGTCTACCTTCGGAAGCTTTTGGCCGCCGATCCTCTCGCGCGCGATCGCCATGAAACTCATCATTCTGGTCCTTCGCTGCTGTTCTCTTATTAGTGTCACCGTGAGATTGAGACTGGCAAAGACAGACCATCACACCTCAGACTTGATGACACGACTGTTGTGTTGTCAGATGTCGGCTCTCTTGATGTCGAGCTGTGCAGCATCGCCTTATCTATGATGACACGAAGCAGATGCCGAGGCAGGCTTCATGTTGCAGTGTGCATACTACAGCCTGTTCATCGACACCTAGAATGCAGCATCCTCCGGGTGCTTCGGAGAGAGGACAAATATTTAGGTCCGAGTGAAGCAAAGGTTTGCGCAGGACAGGAATAGCTGAAAGCGTCCTCGAATATGAGGAACACATTGAGCAGTATGAGAAGACCACACGAGAAAAGGTGCAGCACAACTTGAAGGTGTCAACTTTTATCCAAGAAATGAAGTCCGATGTGAAGAGACATGTGTTGCTCAATCTTGATAAGCAGACCAAGTACTCTGGCCTCTGTCAGTCTCTCGTGAACTATGAGTCGACAGACAGACTGTAAGAGCCCTAACGTCCTCGACCCAGCCAGCCTTGCCCTAATTCGTAAGACCCCCACAAAACCCCCATGTGGGTAGTTCTCTACATCTGGGTTCCTTTTCGGGTCCTTCTGGTAAGGGTGCCATACTATTTTGGGGACCCTATAGTATAACTACCCATTTCGAACCATAGGACTTACCTTAAGCTCCTAAAAGCGATGGTAACAGCTGCAACGGGCCTCTAAAGACATGTACAAACCCTTGGAAACGAGCCCACCAAGCCCTAAATCTTTGAACCCCTTATGGTTTAGGGTTTCAAGGTTTTGGGGTTTAGGGTTCAGGATCTGTGGTTAGGGTTTGGGATTTAGGGTGTTGCGTTTAGGGGAAGTTGTATAGAATCCTTATACAAGCCTTGTAGAAGCCTTGCAGAAGCCTGGTTGGAAGTTGGAACCCTTTCGCTTACAGAACAGCAGAAAAGATTTAACAAAACCTACTGTTGCAAGCCGTTCAGGGCATTGTTTTCCATGCATACACCCCCTTTCAAGACCCTATACCCTATACAACCCTATAGAACGTGAGCAGAACCTCAACAAGACCTTATAAAATCCTGTAGAATCTGAACCTTATGAAACCCTAAACTTAGACCCTAAGCCTAAATGCTTATAGAACCCTGAACCCTAAACCTTCTGAAATTGTAAACCCTAAACTTTAACAGACCCCAAAACCCAAAACCCTAGACCCTAAACCCTAAACCCTAAACCCTAAACCCGAACACTCATACGAGCCTTGGAGAGCCCTTATAGAACC